ATGTCGGAAGAGTGTGTTTTCCGCTCGCGATGAATTAAAGTTTACAAAATCTCGTAACATATTTCCGTTCAGATTTATTAGTTCTTCTCTGTTTACGCCAATTAATTTCTGTATGGGCCGTCAATTCTAGCATTCCCATCTCCAATAACAATATAGTCATTTTCGGAAGTCATGGGACTTGGTCGGTAGGAGAAAAAAGTTCGTTCATGGTTGTTTGCCAACGTTTCGAAACAGTTATTATTGCGATAAACCAAGTTGTATGCCATGTACCTTTACAATGGAAATAATTACTATAAGTAATTGCAAAAAAATTAGTTTCAATATTAATATCTGTAATGAAAATTCTGTGTAATATGGTTACAATGTAGAGTATAGCGGAATAAGATAAGTGAATTTAGCCCATGACCAAACTAGAAGTCGATGATATTATCTAATTCTACTCCCAAAACAACCTAGAAAATCAGATTTTTATAATTGTTAATCTCACATAGTTGACGTAATATTGAAAATGTTTCCTCTTTTCGAACATTTAACGCTGTATAGGCGGATTTTATATTTTTTATATGTAACGTGACGAACTGTATTCTTTAGACAATATCCTAAGATACACAATAATTTCATATCATATTTTTGATACGTAACACCAAACTAAGATATTATTTTCACTACAAATCGTGCTTTTTCTCTTTTTTACATCTTTTTTAGTATTTCAAGGGGAATGCTTGATTTAGGAATAAAATAACTATTTTTATTGGATTCCCCGTGAAAATTACAATAAATAATCGATTCCATTTCACTTTGTGGTTCTCCCCAGTTTCGGACTTAAAAATGCATCATCTGTATTATTTTTTTTAACTTAATTGTAATGTCCACATATAACTCATTTCCTTCAATCTGATCCATATATATCTTATATTTTCCATGTACGTAATATAAGTGGCAATACAAATAAAAAGAGTGACATGTATGGGTACACAAAAAAGCAGTTATTTCCCAAAGATTCTTTTATTTTCTTTTTACGATCTAATGTGTGGCTTTTGCTGCCCGAACTCGCTTTGCCACTTTTCGCCAACGGAAGGGCGAAGAGTGCCAAGTGAAGAGAAATAACATGATAAAAATGTTCCCTATGAATAACATGTTTCCAATAGTAGAAACAAAAGATACACGTTTTCGTATTAACATTTTTCTGTCAGTGTCTGTCAGTCTGTCTGTTATCCATTCAGCTAATGGAATATTTTTGAATCAGAGAACACTGAGGTGACAAAAGTCATGGAATATCAACATGCAAATGCACAGATGACAATAGCATCGCGTACAAGAGATGTAAAAGGGCAGTGCCTTGACAGAGATTTCATTTGTATCGCCCTTTTCTAAGTGATTCGTGTGAAAAGGTTTCTGACGTGATTATGACCGCACAACGGAAATCCAGTCTTCGAACGCGATAATTGAAACTAGACGCATGGGACATTCCGTTTCGGAAATCGCTAGGGAATTCATTATTCCGAGATCCACAGTGTACAAGAGTGTGCAAAGAATACCTAATAATACCAGGAAAGTAAGATAAACAATTATAAAAATGTGTTTTTCTAAGATATTTCGGGAGTGGAATAAGATATCATCTAGTTTGGTCATGGGCCAAATAGACCTATTATATTCCCCTACACCCTTTGACGTTTGAAATAATTCTCGTTTCTTGCATGTTTTTTCTGAACATTTAAATATCGTTTCACTTTTAGCACAAGTGCTCAACATTGAACTTTTAGCACGCTCGGAATGCTCTGAAAGAACCGCTTTTAATAGAGTATCTAAAAATGTATTTATATCATCAGGTCTTGCAACCACCAGAAGACAAAAGCAAAGGACCGGAGCTACAGTCTTTTTTTTACTTTCCCGTGTAAGTACGTATATACGAAGTAATATACGTACGTACACGGGAAAGTTGTGCAATGCTGCTGAAAATCGATTACGAGATTTCGACGGAAATACACGTTTTAGGGTCTCCTGATACCGAAGAAGTGGTTCTTTTCAAGGCGTCCGTCTGTTGAAGAAACCCGTGTCGATTTGGCTCGAGTCAAATAATTGAGATTTGGAAAAAATCTTTAGAATTTAAAGGTAGTTTACATGAATCCTTTTGTAAAATTTTCTCAAAAACAGCTCCAAATGTTTTATTTAAATTTCTTGTAAGGATAGAGTAACACAAACTTACAAAGATGATATGTCCGATTTTAACGGTTAACTCTGAATTTTCGAAAGAACGAAAGCCGAAGTACGAATTTTTTTCGATGTCTTCCTACGACTACAAAATTGAAGATTTTTAGCATTTTGTTCATATTATTGTATTTATTAGTACATGTGCTTTAAATAACGTCAGATAAAGTTTCTCGAAAACTCAACCGTTTACTGTGAAAACTAGCTCAAAATTCCGCATTTTCAGAAATGCTCAAACGCCATTTTCGCAAACACTGCTTAAAATTTTATCTTCAGACATTTCGAACGAATAGTGCTAATTCCATTTTTTAATATGACGTAATGTTAATTTCGGTTTATTCTTAAAAATAATTGCTCAAATGTAAATTATTTGAAAGAACTCTCACGCCGTTGTTATGCACATTTCCAGGAATTTGTAAACACAATTACACTTCGAAGTTAAAGTACTTAAAATAGTTTCAAATGAAGTTTTTCGAAAACGCAAACATTTTCTGTGAAAGAAAGCTTCAAATTTCGAAGTTCAGTAGCGCTTCAACGCCGGGTTTTTAAAAACGGCTTCAATTTTTTTTAAATACCATTTAGGACGAGGTTTTACTGTTCTTTAATCATATTAAAATAATATTTCCGCTCTACAATTAGGAAACCGAAAAATTAAGAATATGTCAAAGAAATGTACTTTGGGCAGCGATAGCTGGCAAGAGTATGTGGCAAGTTCGTATAGCTAGACGAGACCAAAAGAAATAGAAAACTAATTCGGGAAAGTCTGCGACATTCTATAGCACCACTATACAATTATTTATGAAATCAATTACATTTTGTTGGGTCTTCTAAAAGTTATTAAAATTGTCTTCTCGTCCTTCTTCCGGAGCAACTAATATTATGCTCATGTAATGTGTTCACCTTGAATCTACATATGACGATCTTCTCGTTTACCCAACTGTACGATGTTATCCAGTTTGGCTTCCTTGTGTAAAAGCTAAGCCGAAATATTACGTAGCTCACCAAATCAAATACGCCAGGTTTATCAAGTCTATGTGCTAATTGTATGGTAACAAATGGCTCCACATATTCATTGAAATTTGCCAATATTGAAAATATAACTTTTAATAACAACATGTAACATTTTTATTTTTAATCTAAACTGATGGTGTTTTGTGGCTTAAAATAGTGCATTTTTTCTCAAAAAGTAATATTTTAAACACGTGTCTTGAATACTGAAATTCAACCATCAATTTGAATTCAGCACAGCAAACTTCAAATTTTTAAACAAAATATGGTGATGAATAACAATATAATATTTATTTCTACGTTTAAATAACCATATATTTATTATATTTAATAATGGAAAAAGTGGGGACAGTATTTACGGATATTCTGTAATTTTTTCAGCACGATTATTTAAGATTAATCTAGGTACTACTTCTCTCAATTATGAGAATTAAAACACTTTTCTAAAATAAATATTTAAGATGCCGTCAGTTAATAAAAAAATACACGGAGGAAGTCCCATCAACACGAATAGCACACGGGAGCGAAATTCGTTAACAATTTTCATATTTGCTGGAAGGGCAAGTGGATCAAATCTTTCATTCATTTCATTTTATTATAAAGTAGCACCTCAGCATCATCGCTGAGTTCCTGATAATATTTACTTCGAATTGAAATTTTCGAAATGAAAAATAGTAGCTTGATACATTTATTTTTGATACTAGAATACGCCTTTTTAAGTCAAATTTGCGAAGGAGATGCGCAGCCAGACCCTAACAGAACAACGGAAGCACATGTCACAGTAAATAACAACCGTGGCAAGAAATACAAACCTGAGAAAACGTAGGGTTACCATACGTCCTCTTTTCCACAGACATGTCCTCTTTTTGAAGTAAGAAAAACTGTCCGGTGAATTTTACTTCAAAGGATGAAATGTCCTCATTTTTTATTGCAAAGGGGCTACTATCTTTAAATGCAATGTAAACGTGTGGTGAACGAAGGATACTGCGATTTGTTCGACTTTTTCGAGTTTCCAGTATCAGAACATTTCATTATTTTATAAATAAATGTAATTTAACTTAAACTATCAAGGTTAACAACCAACGAAGTCCATAAATCAACTACATCTACATTTACGTCCTTTTCTCCACGCAACGGTGCCTCCATAAGCAGGTACAACGTAGATGGTGCTTGATAAAGATTCTATGCTCTGTGGTGCTAATACTATTCTGCTGGCGTGTGGAGTTAATATTACTCTGCGGTGTTTATATTTTGAGCAGGATGGCAAAAATAAATGCCTCGTTTAATGACATACTTCTAAGTTCAAAGCGTTAGTTGCAAGGTTCAAAGCAATTAAAGTTTTAATTGTTGAGTGAAATTTCATTATCCTCCCAATACTTCTGGTATAAAAGTGGAAAATACATTATTAATAATGTAGTAGGCTTACTGTGTGATTGTAGGCCGATTGTGTGATGAAAGTGATGACAATGATTAAAGTATTTAGTCAGTAGTATTTTGTCTTAAAGAAAAATAAATTGTTATATAAAAATTATACGAAATGTCCTCTTTTTATAAGAAATGACCTCTTTTTTCATTATGGAAGTATGATAACTCGAGAAAAACCGCACAGTACAACCAAAAACTACTAATGCTCTAGGAAACGCTTACGTGCACACAAGAGTTTGCCATCCAACACTTTCCCGCCAAATGTTGTGACGTCATTTAGACATCTCTGAAGCCAAGGAGAAAGCCGTCTCGTCAACGTTTTTCTCATTGGCCTCGGCATCGATTTTGTAAGGTTGGTACCTAGATGTGTTTCTGATCCTGTTGTGATCTAAATATTGGTATTTCTGTGATACTGCCACTGCTGTCAGTGTTAGGTTTTAGGTTATTGCGTGATACGTATGGGAAGTGTTTTGGACCTTGTTTGGTGATAATAAACTCAATATTGAAGCTTTAGTCTTCTTGCATGTAGGCGTATGTAGAATACTATTAGTTATGTGTATTCTGTTGAAATTTGATAAATCGTTCGTACTTCACTGTGTTGGTTTGGAAGTATGATTCTGCGTTGGGTTTGGTGTTTTGTGTTTGCAATTGAATATATTATTGTGGGCGTCCGTTTAGATCCTGTAAATGAACTGCCTGATTGTACGGGCAGATATGGTTCTGATAATTTAGGAAGGTATGGATTTTTGTGTGCTATGTTTTCAAATATATTGTTCAGATTGAAGTATGAAAATTATTATTACTATTTTTTTGTAGTACTGTGTTTGTTAGTACTTTGGATGGGCGAATAACAGCTTTAAATGGCCATGAAGCAGGCACTGTCAAATGGCACATAGACGCATCCAGCCCTTTACTGTCATCAAGTATCCATAAACTTGAGGTAAGTTTTGGAACAAGCATTGTCAGCTAGCCAGCAGATAATTTGGAAATTGTGATTCCAATTTTTTTTAAATTTGACTCTTTTGTCTTTTTCCTCCTCTTCCTTCTTTTCTTCTTCTCCTTCTTTTGATAACTTGAACTTTTCCAATTGCACATTGATTGAATCACACATTAAGTTACTTATGAACAATTGAAAATAAATAAAAAATGAAAGAAACTCTCATTTACTAAGATTTCTTCCCTTTGTTTAGCTAAATTTTTGTTTTCTTTTGCCTCTTATAATAATAATTAAGAGTGGTTGTGAACATGGTTAAACCAGTCTGTGTTGGGAGAAAGTTTGGTGAATATTAAGTACTGATCATTTTTTGGGTGTGTGTTTGACACTGAAGTAGCAACATAAGAATGTGCTTATAGTTGTGGATATGAGGTATGTAAGATTGTTAAAAATGTTTAATGTCCAAGAAAACTTGAAAACATTTCATTGAGAAGGAGACCTGGCCATCACCAAAAGAAACATATTTCTGGGGGATGAAGAGCAAGTTTGCCTTTGGATACAATAATTTCAGAGGTACACTATATATATTACCAACTTGATCTAATTGATTAAATATTTACAATTCTTTAATGAATGTATATTATAAGTGCACTACCCAGAAAAAGCTTGAATAGACTGCATAATCTAACAATCTACAGTTATTAAATTATAACACTTGGATATGGCTGTCATAAAAAATATCTGCTAGATAGATCCTTATTTGAGACCAAAAAAATTACTTTCTGTAGTGTTAACTTTCATTTACTGGACTTCATATAAACATTCTGTTCAATTAACTATTGTTCTCAGTAAAATAATTATTGAAAAATGTTAAGCACCAGATTCAGTGTTTTAAAAAAAAATTAATCAGGTATTTAAGCCCAAACTTTCAGGGTAAATGCAAGATACCTTTTTAGGAAAATTTGGGGTGTTGGGGGTAGTGAAACAGTTGATGAAACAAAGAAAGATTTGCTTATCCTTGCAGCATGAAAAGCAGGTAGTGAACAATTTTAAGTTCATTAGCCAAATTGGAATTTTCGTTATCCTAAGTAAGTGTAAAATGTGGAAGGGTTGTTAAATGAGATGAACTGTCAACTCCATTTAGGAGTAATAAGATAATAAGTAAGTAAAGTAAGAAAATAAAGTAGATAAGAAAAAGCCAGGGAAAAACCAAAATAGCAGAACACTTCTTTCTTGGTTTAAGATTTTCATGACCTGATTGACAAAAAGTTGGGGAACTGGATCTTGCAGATAAACCAGCACATACATGGAACTGGATTAGTCTGGCTTGATTCTTGGAGCTTGAAAGGACTTGTTGAGAAAGAGCTAAGTAAATGGAATTGTAATGGCATTGGATAAGGAATATATAACTGTGATGGCATGCTGTTCAACTGAAGGGAAATTATTGCCACCTGTAATAATTTTTAAAGCACAAAAGATTTGAAGTTTTTGGAGAGAGGGAGGTGACCTTCCTGGAGCAATTTAGGCAGTGTCTAGGAATGGTTACATTACTGCAGAGAACTTTCAAAAATATTTCTTCCAGTTTGACAGAACCATTTTAGAGTGACCATTCTTCTTGGACTATGATGGACAGGTTACACATCTAAAACCCAAAAAACCAATGGAAGAAACATCTGTTTAATTAAATTACAATCTTGCACAACAGACCACCTGTAGTCTGTAGACCCTTCTTTTGTATGGACCCCTTTTAAAAGAAGGCTTTCCTTCATCAACCCCCTTAATTTATTTCCTTTAATATATAGTAAGCCCCACAGTCATAACGCAAATTATTCCACATTTTCATCTTCTTAGTAAGGCTCAATATCATTTGCTAATATTGTTTTGGCCTGTTCAACTTCAGCTTTCCATTCTTTTCTGTTGTTCACTTTAGTTATTCAGTCTCTTTATCTTCATTGTCCTAAAATCATTTATTACATGATCCTTCCATCTTGTTTTTGGCTTTCTTTTCCTTTGTTGCTATAAAGTGCCATCCTAGGACTTTCTTTACCAACCTCTCATGTTTCATTCCATAGACATGCCCTAACCAGCTTAACCATAAAGCTGTAATATGGTTTACGATATTTGTGTTTAATTAGATTTCCCAACTTCACATTATATTTTATTCTTCAAATACCATTTTATAGTTTACCTGGGCCAGAGAACATTCTCAAAATTTTCCTTTAAAAAAAATCATTAACTTTGAATATTAACTTCCCAGTGAACTCACATTTCTGCTGCATATGCGACTAGGGAGAGGTGTAATAGTCATAATTTCACTCTTTTAGATATCAATGTGCTTATGAAGAATTCCGGTTTGTAAATTGTGCTTTATTAACAGCTGTTATTCATTCTTTTATTTCTTCTTCGATCTTTTTGGTTATTGATTGTAGAGCGAAGACTGTAGATATGAAGTAACTTCTTGGTAACTAATGTCAATTCGTATATAAATACCGCAGATAGGTATAGTGATAAATTTGCACAAGTATCGATGGTATGGTGAATTCAATGTTGGTCGTAGTTCACTCCAAAACGAATTTCGCGAAGGTCGTCCAAAATCAGTTGTTGTTCGGAAACCATTTATGCTGTGCGTGAACTGATATTGCAAGATCATGTGACCTATCGTAAGATTGAGACAACCTTAGGCATTAGTGGGACCAGCATACATTCAATATTGCATGAATTGCATGAACATTTGACTGTAAAAAAAATTGTTCGCGTTGGATCCCACACAATTAGTCAATCGCTATAAAAAAAAAAAAAGACTCGTGTCGATTGGTCGAAAGAAATGCTAAAAAAATACAATGGCGGTGCTTCGAAACGCGTCTATGGCATCGTGACACGTGATGAATCGTGGATTTACGCGTATGAGCCCGAAAGTAAACAGCAGTCGACTGTATGGGTGTTTCAAGATGGGCAAAATCCAACAAAAGTTGTTCGCGCACGAGGCAATTCCAAACAGATGGTCGCTTGTTTTTCTTTTTTCTTCGGAAAAACAGGACATGTCCCAACCGTACTACTAGAACAACGCAGAACAGTCAATTCTGAGTGGTATACAACTATCTCTCACACATCGGCGCAAACAACTGCATTTTTGAGCTCTCAAAACATCGATTTGATGAGTCATTCGCCGTATAGTCCTGACTTGGCACCGAATGACTTTTTTTTATTCCCGTACGTAAAAAACAAACTGAGAGCTCAACATTTTTCGACACCTGAAAAAGCGGTTGCTGCATCCAGAATGCATGTTTTGGAGATACCTCAATTAGAGTGGCAAAAGTGCTTTTAGAATTGGTTTAAACGCATGCAAAAGTGTACAGATCTTCATGGAGAATATTTTGAAAAACAATAAAGTGATTTTCGATGATTAATATTTGTTTTTGTTCTCTAATCCTGAAATATAAAAGGCAACCCTCATATCAGAGATTAGAAGCCACACAAATGCAATTTTTCCGGCTCCTTGTAGGAATTACATGTTTAGATTGACAAAGAAGCACTGAAATTAGAAAAAATATTCAAAACAAAAAAATTTGGTGGATGGCATTAAAGAAAACCAGAGGAGATGGCTTTCGCATGTGCGAAGTATACAAGCGGAAAGATTTTTTAAAGCAGTTTGAAAGTATAAACCCACAGGGCGATGAAATATAGGAAGACCCAACAAAAGATAGATTGCTCAGGAACGTCTGGAGGAATAATCACTAAATCTACAGTCTTAACAGGAACAGGCACCAGACCTACTATTCTCCTCTTCATAATGAGGTATAAATTCCGTAATGGCAGCAGAAATATTGTGGTACTCCATGATTATTGATTCAGGGTAGCAGAGGTATCAACCACAAGTAGTTAATTACAATTTGAATTTTAATAAACAGAAAATTCAGCCATACATGCGTCTTAGGACAACTTCATCCCAACACCAATGGCTCTACAATTTTGAAAATGAACTAATAAATTAGCATATGAATTAACCAAGCCATACTGAAGAAGAAATAAAAATGAACACTAAAATTTAAAGTGTTCATTTGTATTTTGTTTTTCTTCTCTATGTCTTGGTTAATTCATATGCTAATTTCTTTGTTCATTTTTAATACTGTAAAGCTACCGATGATGGGATGAAGTCTTGCTACACGTGTATGGCTGAATTTTCTGTTTATTAAAATTCATATTGCAATAAACTCATATATTCATATTGCAGTGGTTGATACCTGTGCTATCCTGAATTAATTCTTATATAATTTAACTGTTCTGGGTTTACATCTCGTGTATATTGTTTTATGGTTAGTTATAAACAGGGCTCAGATTCTGATGATATGACAGCTTTTCTTTCGTGCATTGTAGACATAGCTAATTTGTAAATGAATGAGAATGTTTATCACGACATATAAGTAATATAAATGTATTGTTATTTGGTGGACTGTTTTGCTCATTTTTTTGCCATTCTCAATTTTTAGATCAAGTTTTTAGACCTTGGTGTCATTTTTATGCATTGTTTTCCTTTCCGTGTTTTTGTTAGTGAATGGTTCATGAATTTACAATGACTCCCTGAAACAAAGTTTTTATTGAATCATCAGTTCATGACAATAGTCACTACTGCAATGGACTCAGGTTTTCAAACTAAAAATTACACGGATCTTTGGTAATGTCCTTGACATTTCAAAACCGATGGTTGGAAAATCACTGGATTACATTTCCTCCTAAAATGAAGACTTTATATTAAATATAACTTTATATAAATAAATTTTATTTAAAATTGTGAAATTAATTGAATTAGTAAATATTTTCATACACATTTTTTAGTATTTTTTTAAAAATGAGGTCATTTCCCCCTTATTTTAAGTTTTTTAGGTCATTTTTAAAGAATTGTTAGGCCATCAGAACCTGAGACTTGTTTATAAATAATCCCTACTCTAACCCCTAATGCCTATTCTTTCCGATGTTGTAGCGTTTCATCCAATGCAGACTTTGACCTAGTTATGCATATGCATCTGCATATGCAATACATTATTTCAGGATTATGGTAATATTTTCCCTAATGTACAGTTGCTTCATAGTTACATCTATTATCATAACAAACAAGTAGCCACCTGTAGATCTTTGTTTCACTCCAGTTTCCTACTTGAAAATCACTGCTTAGATTGGTATTAAGGGTCTTTTATTCTTGCTTTTAATATTAGATAATGTGAAAATGATTAATTTTCAAAATTTATTTGGGATATTGTATATTTTAAGGCATTCATTGATTTTGAACCTGTGGACTAAATCAAAAGTATATATGTAATCAATGAATATATTGAATAAATTAATGGTATGTTCAAGGCAATTCAATTGCCTTATTACAATCTTGTTGTCTATAGGAGGTATGTTTCTGTAAACCTGTTTGATAATCACTAATTTGTTCTTTAGCTATTTTACAAAGTCAATTATTTAGAAAACTTGCAAATTATTGGTTGTAATTACTTCAGTTTTGTTTGTCTGTTTTTTTAAAAAATTGGGTGCATTATGTAGTAAATTGTAATAAAATATTGTAAAAATAGGATGTATTACTACTCACTGCTGTGGAAGCTTTTCACTCTCCCAATAATTTCTATTAATTTATGTAATTCTTCTTTTAATAATCTGCCTTCATGTTTAATGAGTTTTTCCAGAATGTTGTCTGAACTTTTTGCCATATTGAGTTAGTTCATAATATAACAAATTTCATTATATCGTTCATGGGGTCATGCAAAAATGGCAGACTCAAAAAGTCAGATGTTGAGATAGAGTTTGAAGTTTTCACGGTGCATTGAAATGCATAATTCTTGCATTCACACTACTGCCGTTTGTTGTTGTTGTTACTGCTGCCTTTTGAACTACAATAATGCTTAACTTGCAGAACTTCCAAGGAAAAATTGAAAAAACCTAATTGTGGGTAATTTAGGGTGTGAACAATTCAGGTGATCTATAAATAGGGAATAAATGAAATTGTTAAAAGTTAAATAATGTAGGGATTGGTGTTCAGTGTAATTGAAGTACAATTCTTACTCGCACTTTCAAAAGCTAGTAGGTCATTGGTGCTGTCAGCTTACAGCTTACTTTCTAATTTGCTGAAACTTTCTAATTTGGGGTTTAAAGTTCAGTATTTTAATAATAATAGTGCTATTGTCATAATGCCACAACTATGAAGATGTTTCAGGATTATTTTAATGATTATGAGGAGTCAAAATAACAAAATTACCCTGCAAAACTTTACAATTATCTTAACTTAAAACAACTGAGCAGCTTTCATTAAATTTATTTAATAAAAGATGCAAATCACTTGTTTTCTTAATAGTACATCCCGGTCTTTCTGTTACTGAAAAATACTTATTTTTTTCTGTGGAGGCCCAATAATAGTTTAAAATATGAAAACATCTGTCCAAATACAGTTTTAGATGTAGAATACTAGTCTTATTTATTTTTAATAATTCATTAAATTACAACTATATTTTTATAATTGTAACGGAATGACGAAATGCAGTAACGGAATGTCACAAAACTGTAATGGAATGACCCAATTCTAGTTCTTTGAGTACAAATGAAATGATTTGAGAACAGTGCCAAACACTTAAATATCTTTACATTTTCAGGGCAAATGATATTCTGTGGGCTGCCCTGTTAGTATACTGAAGGGGGGGGAGGAGAATTTTTAGAAGCAAATTCTTGTTGCACATTTTTTAGAAGTCTGAAAATCACTGAAAGGTTTGTTATTCAATGAGAGAAGTAAATGTAAATTATTTTTATTTAATTTTACAGAATAGGAAATGAATTAGGCTGCTTTTGTAATTTCCTTAACTTCTTTGTTTCATCGTACTATTTACATAAGCTATATCTATTCTGATAGGTACTATAATGTCATTCACAGCAGCTGAGAAAATGAAACAGTGTAGAAAAAGATTTGCTGAGAAGGGTTTAACAGATGAAATGATGAAAATGGCATGGAAAGGAAGAAGCTAAAATGTCAATGACTTGCTCTGAACTTAAGGTACTAAGAGAGAAGGAAATAATAAATCAGAGAAAATGCAGAAGAATTGAAGATAATCTTGATGAGCTTGTTTGTGTTAATACTACTAGTCCTTACAAATCTCCGGCAACACGAAAGGAGGCCATTAAAGTTGTATTAGCTGTCTTACTTAGAAGTCCAAGAAAGTGTAAGAAAGTAATTCTGGAACTTGCAGTTTCTCATGGAATTTCTACCACTTCACGTACTGTAAAGACAATTCACTATTTAAATCCAAGTTCAGAAGAAGCTGTTACTGCTTTCTGTCTCAGAGATGATATTTCATGCCTACCTCCTGGTATGAAGGATTATATGACTGTTCGGGACAAAAGAGGTAAGAAAGAGCAAATCCAGAAGGGTACAAGATCATGACAAAGAAGTTCATTCAATATATTACGAGTTCCCAAACATGCCTGTCAAACTGGCTAGGTTTTGTGCTTTGTCACCAAAGTTTCTTAGCACCATACAGGATACACCACACATTGCCTTTGTAGATATCATGAAAATGTAAAGCTGATTTTAAGTACATTGAGTAGAGTTATTCCTGACATTATGAAAACATTTTGTGATTTCATTGCTACTACAGTGTGCAATTAAGGGAAAGAAGACTGCACAATGTCAAAATGCAAGAAATGTGCAAATGTGTGTCTAAGGGAAAAATATTTTCAACATTAAGATTTGCTAAAACAAACAGTTAATTGGGAGCAATGGGAAACAATGAACCAAAGAGTTATTTTTTAAAGAAATTCATGAAACAATTGGGCAATGTCTTGATGATCTCTCCAATTTCGTGCCCCAGTTTTTGAACCATACCTTCATTCAATGAGAACATAGCATATTTTTTTAACAAAAGAAAAAAAAAATTACAAGCACAAAAAATTTCCTTGTACAAGAAGACTTTGCAGAAAATGACACAGTTGAGATGCAGAATGAAGTTCATAGTGCACATTAGGCAAGATCTCAAATCACAATCTTTACAGCACATATTTGGAACTCTGAAAATGATGGAAATGCTTATGCTATAATCAGTGATGATCTAAATCACAATAAATCCTCTGTTCACATGTTTTTAGACTAAATTATGCAGCAAATTATGTCCCTTTACAGTTGTGTAGAGACTTACTTTCATTAGTGATGGTGCTGCCAGCAAGTTTAAACACCGATTTCTATTTGCAAATCTTACATTTTACCAAAAACTCTATGGAGTAACAACTATGTGGCTTTTTTTACCACATCCCATGGCAAAGGTGTAGTTGATGGAATTGGTGAAACTAAAAGTGCTCAGTGTCGACAGCTTGCTAAGCCCGTCAACAAACTGAGAACATGTTGAAAGGTGTTGCTGAAATTGCAAGGGAAAGATGCCAAAACATAACAATTTTGCAGGTTTCAGCCCTTGAAATTATTAAAAACAAAGAGGAAGTGGACCAAATTTAGACTAAAATAGTTTCAGTTGAGAACACCAAAAATGTACACGCTGTAGCGTCTATACGTAATAGTGTCGGTATCACTGTCATCCCACAAATTTCTTCCCAATTTCCAAAATGTAACAATACAAAATCTCATTTCTCAGTAAATGGAAAGTAATTCTACCTTACTTCAGGGGAATTTTGCACTTGTATCTTATGCTGGGAAAAAAGGTGTACGATATTTTTGTAGGTTGTTGTTGCCCAAGAAAGTTATGAAATTATATTTCTGAGAAAAAGTAATGAATTAGGGAAAATATTTGTCTTTCCTTCAAAAGAAGATGGGTTGAGAAAGGCCAAATAAAAAGGAAACTATTTATAGAATATATTCTTAGGATATATTTATAGAATTCTTGATTCATGTGTCATTCTATTTGTCCATTATTATTTTCTTGCATACTATATTTTTTATTTTTCTGTGGAAAATGAGTGGGCTGAAATTCTGTAATATTGTATGTGTGAACTAAACACGTGTCCAAACTATGGCATTCCGTTACTTGCCACTATTATGTTAATTACACAGTTATGTTTATGAAAATAAAATTTTTCTGGTTATGAAAATTGTGTGTGTGCTTAGGTTTGTGAAAAATCCAGAAGGTTCTTTTCTTTTTTCCCCTTTCTATGTGCCCTTTCCTCCATTTACAAAACAAAAATGATTAAAACTGTCATTCTATTACTCGTGGAACATCCCAAAGGTCACATTTAAAAATTCAAAAGCAAATACAAGAAATCATCTCAGCATTTGCTCTATGGGTCTACTTATTTTAAAGAGTTTCGACTTGCCTCTCGTGAGAGAGTTCTCGGGTTTTGGGCCAAATTAATACAATAATTGAACACGTGATGTTTGAAATGTAGTGATTGAATTGCTGACAAACTGTTTTACGTGAAGCAGATATTTAAAATAGTTGTAAACTAGTATAAATATGGCTAAAAGAGTAAAGATGTTAACAAAAGCAATGTGAATGCTAACTAGTATTGAAACAATGTCTACGCAGTGTCTTCCACTGTAATATGGAATTTTAGTTTTCAATAAATAATTAGATATAAAATATATTTTCCATAATAATTTGGCCACCTCTGTAGTGTGTTAATTTTCTTAGTCAACATGTAGCGTATGTTCTCTTTAATATTATGAGACATATCCATTCCTCAGTTATAAAGCTCATTTTCTTTTTCAGTTTCAGTGTTTGTGTACGTCAGATAGGTCTATTACTAGTATGCCTTATTTTATCAAAATATTAATGCTTTGAGTTGTTTAGAAACTTTTGTGTGGGTTTTTCTTGAACTTATCAAACTAAGGGTATTTTTGCTGTACTGTATTAATGTAATAGGACCGCACGCTACAACGAAGTTCTTCCCTTAACGCAGATATAAATAATACAAATTATTGTCTTTTTTCAGTTGACTAACAATGGACATTGGGTTCGGATGATTCCATCATTGAGTGGAGGTTTATACAAATTTAATGGTGTGGACATTGAAATGTTGCCAGTGAGAGCGGACCATTTACTGCAGTCTTCATCGTTTTTGCTTAGTGATGGTTTAGTAATTTCAGGTATTTTATTTTATTACTATTTATTATTATTATTATTATTATTATTATTATTATTATTATTATTATTATTATTTATGTGTGTATGTATATATGAAGGATTATACTTTAATTTTGCCCTGCCTTTACATTGTGGGATGCGGGAAGGAGGTGGTATTGCATGCGGGCACTAAGAAGAGAAATATTCATTTGGTTCAAATAAGTTTATAATAAATACATGTTCTGCGTTACACAGCCAATGCGCGGCTCGCCAAGCATTAAAAAACCAACCACACTACTATAAACACAGCACGTAACCGGGGTCAATGTCCAGTCCACCAGTCGGTTGTTTTTGGCGAGACGGGCAGGTAAGCCGGCAATCCCTTTTGTCCCGGCTTGGCGACGATGATGGCGGAAGCCGCAGCCCGTGGCAGTGTGGGGGCGGCCTGCAGTGACGGCTGTAAGCGCCTGACAGGCCGACGGTGGCGGCTGTTGACGGCTGGTAGGTCACCCACTAGACGGGTACATCAGGCACTGGTGACTGGCATAAGCCTTGCACTCCGCGTCTGCAACGGACGACGCAGTCTCCCTTGAGAGCCTGAGTGGCTTGGCCGAAATTTTCGTCTGATTGAATGTATATCGCAACAAAATTAACCTCTCCCCCTCCCATTCACCGACGAGGTAGCTCACTATTCGTTGTATTTGAACGAATTCACCCATCCCAATATCGGCGCATGCCCGTTGAAATATATTTCTCACAGTTCCTAGAATTTTGAAAATCTAATTTGGGTTTACTTTCCTTCCGGGAAACACAAAGCTGTGGCATCCGATTATGAGTGGTGAATTGGCGACCTTTCCGAGAAGGCGACGGCAAAAAGAAATCTTAGGGCGAGAGGGGGCGCGGTGGCGGTGAAGGACGGCTTTTCTTACATCACATCGCGTATTCCGCGTATTTCCTCGTATAATACAGCGTGGATCGATGTAGTACACATATATACATACAGTGTCACAGAGAGGAAAAGTCAGAAATCCGAAAATAAGCTCTACAATTTTAAGCATATTTTGTCTAATAAACTACTTGGAATATTCTAAATCGCTGAGCCGCAATATGCACTCTAAAGTTTGTTTTAAAAAATATTTCTAAGCAAAAATTGTCATTCCTGAAGCATAGAAACGCTCGAGAAGTATTTAAATTATTATTTACAAAAGAAATGAATATATTTGTTCAGAATTAAAAATTAACCCGAAAATAAAAACAGCCAATTTTCAGAATCGTCACATTACTCCATTTTGGCAACTGTATTTAATTTTAATTGTAGACTTCTGAAAACGTAATCGTTGCTCATTTTGACTTCTCACAAGACATAGCAGAAACCATAACCAGCCTGTGAATACATTAATTTGCGTGTATTTAAAATTTTTCCCCCAAACTCAGAATTAAAAAAAAAAATCGCCTGCGAGGAAGACGCTCTTTAGAGGTCTGCATTCTCCACGATTTTACCGGCCCGCGTTCTCTTCCAGTCTTTCTCTCGAGGCCACGCGTTCGGCCGTCCTAGGCGCGGGCTCCCAGTGGCCAGTGACCGGCCGACACTGTTGACGCTCGGATGGTCGCCGATACCCAGCGGTCTCCAATCCGGCGAAATGCGCTTTGCAAGACTCGACCACCATTTGAATTTGACATTCTGTATCGTTCGAGATCAAGAGCTCGCTTCCTTATCCCATGGGTCGGTCCACGTCCTGACGGGGGAATGAAGGAAGGGCTCTCGTGTATTCCTTTCTTTCACCAGTCATCTTTCGTCTCCCCCATCGCTCACGTTCGTTCTTCTATAACATCCTGTCTTTCTTCTACCCTTCAATTTCACTGCCCCCCCTCCTTGTATGCAGAACGCCCATATACATGTGCTTGCCGTGCATGGCGACCCGTGTCGGAGGGAATGTGTGTCCTGGCAGTTGAGGGATCTGTTTGTTTCCCAACTACTCCTTGTGCTACTTTCTGCTTGCACCTAGGGAAACGTCGTGTACGTATTTTGAGGAACATTCCTTGCAGGTTTCCAACACGCTTGCTTTGGCCTCGAACGCTTCTAGACAGGCGGTCAGGAGCTAACCCTCTCGATCAATCAGCTCGGATTATGTATTGTACTGAACTCCAGGGTGAGCGGGGAGGAGATCCACGGCGGGGCATCGCTGTGACATCCCCTCACTGTATCTCCGTGGCCCTCCTGGCCCTCCGATGGAGTGTCCCCTTGTTGGGTCGGGACCTAGGGGATGAATCTCATATTCATCTCCATTCATACTAAACTTTCTTCTCCGCTCTCTTCCGCAAGAAAGAGGATATATCCGTGACGAATTAAATAGTATTTTTGAAATAGATGGCACACCAAAAAAGTCTCGTTTCATCATGGCATGCGCCAACGAAGAAAAAAAACGTTTAAAAACGTAATTGCTGTCTAGCACAATCCACAGATCAAGCATACGGAAAGCTCCAAGCGGTCGTGCGTCAGAAATAGAATGTTTCTCTTTGAAGCATGTACCGACGAGCAAATAGAAAAATTATTAAAAACCAAGCCGAATGCCGGCCTCCAGGTGGTAGTGACGCCGCACCCAACATTGAACCTGTGCAAATACGTAGTGAAGCATGAACACTTTGCTTCCGAAATTGAAGAACTAATTTCATTTTTGAAGAGTCAGCGCGTCACTGAAGTTTACAGGATCAAAAGGAAAGAAAATTGAAGGATGGGAAAGTGATTGCTATTTCAATCCTGATCCTTACCTTTGACTGTCCGTCCCTCTCAGAAAGGACCAGTTGTGATTTCTACAAGCTCTATGTGCGACAGTATGTACCAAATCCTTTGCGCTGTATTTTGTATCAAAGGTTTGGACATATCAAGCCACGACGTATGTCGGAAAGCATGGTGTGCGGAAAGTGCGGTGCATCATACACGATCCTCATCCCTGCGCAACACACCGCACTGTGTCAGTTGTAGAGGTAGGCCATCCAGCCGATTACAAGTGCCCTACCTTTCTCCGGGAAGGAGAGATTCGGAAGATAAGAGTCACCGGAAAGGTTTCCTTCATGAGGCCAAACGCCGGCACCAGGCTAGAAATCCAGTAGACCTGTCACGATCTTTCTCCAGTACTTTTAGACCAAGTCCTCAGTATCGAAGTCCCGTCATTACTTCTTCCGAGACTGGCTTTCAGAGATTCTCCAGGCTATGTATATATCTGTCGCTTGTGGCAAAAAAAACAACGGGAAATCCTCCCAACACAGGTGACCATCTCCAGGAGCAGTCAGGATGACTGCTGTTGGCGAGGAGAACCACGACAGTTTCTCTACAACTTTTCAGAAGATGAGACTAAAAATAGCCAAAGAAGTAATTCCCTACAATGGCTCTCAGTGGAATCTGTACGGCTTTCGTGCACATTCAGAATTGAGGTTGATAATTTCTTGTCATAGACCATCTATTATATAGTGCCTTCAGAAAACATATTCTTCCCCATCATCCCTTCTGTCTTTGCGGGTTTGACATCGGTTTGATGAAGATGACCGACTCCGTGCTCACGGTGTGTCGCGGTGCTTATCGGGGACTCCCTGTTCTCTGAGGAACAAAACGTTCGAACCGACTTTCAAACTATGCGTTCGGATACACCGTCCTTTTCGCTAAAGGTGTGCAGTATATACGTTCCTCCTGGCCAAGTCGTGTCACAATGAATTTGAATTTGTGTTTTGTCAGTTTCTCGCACCTTTCCTCGTTTTGGAGGACTTTAATGCCCACTGAAGCTTCCTTTACTTCTGTACATAATCACCACCTACATTGAAACATTTGTCGTATCTGTTCACTAGTTTTAGAATTCTCGTGTTATACTGCTCTGCCGCCAGATCATTAAGCCAGGAGTTCACTGTATTCTTCAAATTTTCATCGTTTCCAAAATGCGTACCACACGGAAAGTCTTTGTACTTAGTGAAAAGGTGAAAATCGCTAGGAGCAAGGTCTGTACTATAGGGCGGATGATCAAAGATTTCCCAACCGAATTGATCCAGCAATTCTCGAGTTGAAGCAGCAGTGTCCGGGCGGGCGTTATCGTGAAGAAGCAAAACTCTCGAAAGCGTTCCTCGCCTCTTGTTTTGAATGGTTCGCCGTAGTTTTCGTAGTCTCACAATAACGATTTGCATTGATCGTAGTGCTTTTTGGCATGAAATCCAGCAAAAGAACACCTTTGCGATCCCAAAAGACAGTTGCCATGGCTTTTTGTGTTGAGTCTGTTTGAATTTTCTTGGTTTCATGAGTGATGAAGGATGATGCCACTCACGTTTTTGGCGCTTGGTCTCTGCAGTGTTGTGAGACACCCAGGTCTCATCACCAGCCACAATTTGATCAAGAAAGGCTTCTCCGTCTGTGTGATATCGCATAAAGACTGTCAATGCTGCGGCCATTCTGAGTTTTGTGTTGGTCACACAGTTGCCGTGGAACCCATCGTGCACAGATTTTGTAGTAGCCAAGATGTTGCAACACAATTTTACCGAGCAAAGAAATGTCAGGAAAAGCAATATGTAATTCGTCGAGTGATGTGCGCTTGTCTTGCAAGATTCTGTCGTTACTTTAGTCTTCAGGTCTTCTGTGATGAGTAATGGGCGTCCGGGTCGAGTTTCATCGTGGACATGTGTTCGCCCATTGTTGAACATTTCTTTCATTCATTACAGTATCACCATAGACTTGTTTTAGTTGCCAGTAAATTTCTGCAGGTTTTAAATGTCGGGCATTCAAAAATCGAATCACACTCCTCACCTCACAGTTGGCGAGATTATCAATCACGTCGTTCATTTTGAAGTAACACAAAATGCACGATGGCCACTTGTTGCAACCATAACTCCCAACATTGAGAACACGTGTAAAGAAAGCCAATTGACCTTCAAACAAGGAAGGGGAGCCGGCTGCGCGGCGGGATGGCGCGAACGGTCGTTATTTCCTGGACCCCCCCCCCCCGTAAAATAACTGGGTTCTGCAAAGTTAATACCTCGGGGTGTAATGAATCAACGTGGCCGCCGCTTTTAAATTGCGGACGATCTCAAGACTATATATTTGTAAGTTTCTGTGAATTCGTAGTAAAAAAAATATTGAACACGACCATTACGAGAGTGTCTTTGCCGTTCTCATTTCACGCGGTTCCTTTCGTCTCTTTGTCCGTTTACATTTCACTTGTACGCCAAAGACTCACTTGTACTGTTTACGTAAATAACTAATTCATATTTTTTCAGGTGGCAGAGAAACTCGTGTGTATAGCATTGCATTAGACACTGGCGAAGTTTTGTACGAATGTTCTATGGAAGGCTGTAATTCGTTTAAAAATATATCGAACAATATGGTAATAATTCAAAAGCAGAGCCAAACAGTTCGAGCAGTAGACGTCCACACAGGAAATGAAAGGTAAGCTAATATATTTATTCTTGGTTTAAGTAGCATTAATTAGTACAATATAGTTTATTTAGATTTACATTATATTAAAATATATGTGTGCATACAATCCCATACAGGGTTGATGTTAACTGCCTCCGCGCACATGGTGGAATTGCTACTTTGATCCACGACTCGCTGCTCTTTACAGATGTCCCAATTCAGACTGAGCTTCAAACTGTGTGCGTCCGGTGTACTTTCCATCCCTCACGCTTACTGCCTGTAACATTTACATCCCTCCAGGACAAAGTGTTTCCGCCGACAAACCCTTAGCTTTGATAAACCAACTACCCTCACCGTTCTTAACTCTTCAATGGTCGGGCGAATTACAATTGTAATCCAATCTTAATCAATCGTTGTTTACAGCGAGTGTTGAAGTTTTGGCATGGACTTTTCGATACCTTTCGTAGAATTATAGCGAAGTGTGACTCGAGTGGTAAATGCTGCACGAGCGATAAGGACGGAAAGAGCTTGGATTGCAATAGAAATCCGTGCGACCACTCGCGGTTCGGTGTCTGACTTACGCGGCCATCATGAATATCGCGGCAATCAATGCTGTGAATGTTTATGCAAAGACCAACAGTGGAGAAAGGTTGACTAGGAGGGAATTTCCAAAGGATCTCGCTTGTCTTTGTCCCTTATGAAACCGGGAATGAAAAGGAAGGTCCAGAGAAAATCTGTGCCGAAAGCAGTAAGAACACGTGGGAGACTTCTGCTGGGAATCCGAAACGAACCGAGGGGTCTGCTGAGTCACCAAAGGGCAAAGCGGGTCGATGTTTTCTCTGTGGACATCAACAAAATGGATCACTCGACAGTACTGCATGGATTGTGTCCAGTTGGTGTGCCCAGAACACATTAAGAAAATGTATGCGAGATGTTCATCTGTTGACATTGAATCAGGTTCAGAATACGGGCTCTAATTTTTTTTTTTAATTTAAACTGCTCTATATAATAATCGTAATGCAAAGTATATCAAGTGCACAAAACATAGAGCACAAGATTTTTCAAAAACAAACATCTACTCGCATATATTTGAGTGTATTTAAAAGCATAATACAAGCAATTTTGTGCAGCATTTCATAGAATTTTCAATATATCAACGTTCTAATAAATTTAATAGTATTTTGGAATTGGTCAGTGTTTTAGATACCATTATTCTTTTTCATGTGAACTAAAAGATAATTTCGTAAAATATTTATAAGAATTTTAAGAAAATGCAGTACAATTGTAATCCACGCAGCAACTCGCAATCCAAATTTGTGCGCCACCACTGAATGGTTAATAGTCGCCCACAGCCCTCTTCGGGGCTCGTTCCGCACTTGTCTGAGAGGCTTCGTATTGGAATCAGTTATCACTTGCAACCGTTGTGCAATGGTCTATTCTAGACGACCTGTTTGGAAGCAACCATTACCCTACTGTCATCTACATTGATGGACATGTTCATGGGTCGGTTCGCTCACCTCAATAGTGTGTACTACGTGCTGACTGGACGAAATTGCAAGCGATTCACAGGATGACTGGCTGTTTAGACGAAATGCCAGCACAATTAACAGGGATGTACTACAAGCTGCGGATATTGCAATCCCCCGGTCGACTGGTAAATCGCGCCACCCTTTCGTCCCGTGGTGGAACTCGGACTGCGCAAGAGCGGTCACTGCCCGTAGAAAGGCGTTGGCGCGTAAGGAACTTTATCCAACTGCGGATAACGTAAGTGATTGCGAGAGGTGAAGAGCGAAGGCGTGGAAAACCGTTGTAGAAAGTAAAAATTCAATGTGGAAGGCATGTCTCCTCCATTAATTGCCGTACGCCACCATATCTAGTATGGAGGAAGGTACGACAAATTAAGGAATATTCCTTCTCGCATCCAGTGCCAGGTCTTTTTGTGAATTTTGTGGGATATTTACATCTCCCGACGTAATTATAGACTAACTTGCTGCGCATTATGAAAGCATGTCAAGTTCGGCGAATCCCCTCGCGGCAATCTAACGGCGTGGCTCAACATTGCAGGTTTCGTGCGTCTTCCGATAATGTTAGCAACACCAGAAAGTAAACACACCCACGTTCTGAATGTTCTTTGACACAGTTGTATGTTTCGACGTTGTTTGTAATATTTCATTTGGTGTAGTCCTTACAGTGTGTGAATTTGTTGGTTTGTTCAGTTGTTACCGATTTTAAAATGAATATGGAGAAGCGCGTTCGAAGTGTAAACTTTGCAAACGGAGAACGCGAAATCTTATTAGAAATTGTTTACGCGAATAGAAACATCATAGACAATAAAAGGACCAGTGATATCAGCGGGCAAGCAAAAGAGAAGTGTTGGAGTAAAGTGGAAGAGGAATTTATCGAGCGTAAACGCTAAAAGATATACGAAATGTTTTTAAAAAATGCTGGGAGAATTTAAAAAAACAGCAAAGAGAACCGTCGCATATATACAATGCAATTTTTAATGTTAGTACGTACTGAACATGAGAAAATAACAGGATTATAACTACAATTTCGTTTTGTTCGAATTCGTACTGTATTTAAAATTGAAATACTATACTGATACAAGACTATCACCTTAACCTGACTTACATTTTTTTTCTTTTTACTATTACAAAATATACCGAGAAAAATACTGTTTATTAAATGCATAAGCCTGACACGTTTGGCAAGCTCTCCGTTATGTTTTTTTTTTCTTCTTTTCCTGCAATCTGATCTTCAGAATGGCTTTACAGCAAAAACGAACAATAAATCCTCTTGCGCCCTCATTTGGTGTTTCATTAACTCTTTCTAGCATTACGTTTACAAATTAGCCCACAGAATGCCGTATGTGGTCACAATGTACTCGTGACCATCAGAGGGCATCCGTATGACCTGAGACGTTAGCTTTGTAAAAGCCGTCTGTTGATCTTTCAGTGTAAATTGGCGATTGCAAGATTTTCTTATGTGATGTGTACTTCTGTGAGCTCCAGTGTAAAAAGCACTCGATTTGACATGTGTGACGTTTACGAGCTTAAAAAGAGTTTGCATATCTGTAAAGGTGCGCATTCAGCTCACTGTGGTAGTGAGGTTATAGTAAGGATATGTTTGATATTGCATATGATTTGTTTCCTTTATTCACGAAACATTACGCGAAATGTACTAAAATTCTCGTAAAGGTTTACATGGCCTCATTTCAAAATGTCTTTAAAAACAACCATTTTTTTTTCAAACTTGGACCCATTTTTTGAAAATTTTCAAAATGTTCTAGGGGTTTCATGTAAAGTACCCCGCAGAATTAAACTTAAATTTCAAAGACAAGGGTCCGCGAAATCACCCAAGTCGATTGAGGAATATAAATTTTGGAAGAAAACAGCTGATAAGTAGGCGCTATAGTTGACCACAGATGTTTTGCCGTTAATCAATTTTTCGGCATCCAGGACCCTTCTGGATAAACAATGTGTTAGAGGAAGTAATTTACCATACTGTATGCAAAACTGTATTGCATTTGTTCTGTTGTGAACATTTTAAACTTTAAGGATTTATATATTAATTTTGTATTTGCAGATGGAATTTCAGTGTAGGCCAGTATGAGGTAAAAATGGCTCCGAATTCTGCTAGCTGTAATGTGAAACATTCTGAACAGATTCCAGATTTGGATATTAGAGCAATTATACCGGAAGGTTTGGTGTATGCTGTTCAAAAATCAGAACCCCGGAATATTATATGGCAACACAAGGTAAGGAAATCAGTAGTTGTGTTTTTTTCATACTGCTACGGCCGTCTGGTAAGTTCTACCCTTAGTCGAAATTAAACCAAATAATGGAAAAGATGTTGGAACATTTAAAAAAAATGTATAATCACATACATACATATTACATGTAAATAAAGTCTTACAAATGCATCAAAATACCACTGACATCGTGGAACGAGTTTTGTATTAGTCTCACACACCTCGTGAAAGAGTAGCGTTTTTTAAAGTCATCACCGTAAAAGATTTGGCGCGAAAAGGTGATAACCGGCCGATGTTAAATCTGAGCTGTAGGATGGGTAGTCGAAAACGTTCCTGCCGTATGCTCCAAGAAGTTGTGGTTTTGCTATTGTCAGGTATTGTAGAAGAACAGGGTACCAGAAAAGTTCCCCCTATCGGGTCTGATTTACCCATCATTTTTTTCTGTTTCTCAAATTGCAACAGCCGCAATGGTGTCTACTGAATTCATGAAATCCTCAACATTAGACGATTTTGACAATTCATCCTTCAGGCCGGGTTTGGTTCCGTCCAATTACCGTTTTACGCTATTGAAAGACTTCAGAAGGCAAAATATTACATAACAAAGGACGAGGTGAAGGGAAGCTCAAAAAGGCTGTTGCCATTTTCGCCACCAACAAGCGCCGAAGGTGTACAGGGCCGGGATACAGAAAATGTTCCATGATATGCCAAGTGTTTGAATGGTGCTGTGTTGAAAAATGAGCATGAAAGGCATTGCTTAATAAAAAACATATTCATGATTTAAAGAGTTAAAAATGCATTATTTTTCACATATTCTGAAAAAGATTTCACGTAATAGTTTTACGTGACATCACGTTTAAACAAAATACATTTAAATTTATTAATGTCTGAAAATGAAAAAAGGTAAAGTTTAGAATAAAAGTATTAAAAATAAAAGTTGTATCAGTAAGAGATCAAATTACGGAATAATACAAGTATAAATAAATAATATTATTAGATTGAAATATATAATTAAATGGTGAAGGACTCACCAAAATACGTTCAAATTGATGAAACATTTAAAAACTAGAAGTACAACAGCACTTACTTTATCTTTATTTCTAAAATTTGCTTCTTTTTTAAATCAGAGAGTTCGACAATAATGAAACCGCGCCATTCTTTTAAGCGTACTTTGTTCAATGCGTAGAAAAAATTGGAGTGCAATTTGAATATTTTTATAAAAGGTATCAACTTCAATCCCAAATTACGTAATAACTATTTTTTTCAAAAAAATGTTCATCGTTTTTAAAGAGCCGATTTTTGAAAACTAATTTTGTTTAAGGCAAAATTCCCTGTTTTGAATTTTATAGTTTTGAAATGTTAAAATTTTGCAATTTTTGTGAATGTTTGCGTCCGCCGAGGTGGGTCGACCCACGCCCTGATGCAGAGAATGCGTTTTTTCTCCAATGTACGACCTCTTGCTTTTCATTTCTTTTCACTTACATTCTTTTATAACCCCTCTTTTTTCTTCCTCATTGGCTTTTCTGAATGCTGAACCCATGCTGCCACCCATGTGTTTGCGGTGCATGGCGACCCGTGTCGAAGGGACCGTACGTGACCTCGAGTTGATGGGTCTGTGTATGCGCCTGTCGCTAGTTTTTTGTGGGTAGGCTCGTTCGAACCATGTTCGCTATGCGAACACCGGTGAACCCAGGTTACTGAGGGAAAGTCTCTGCTCCTTCTAGGTACAAATTCTCCCTTTCACCTCGGCCTCTTCTAGACGGGAAGTGGGGAGCTAACTCCCGATCAATCGGCAAGGTCGTTGACAAATCCAGGATGAGCGGGGGAAGAGACATGGCAAGGCAGAGCTGTGTCATCTTCACACTTCACACATCTCCATATCATCCTTGATCCCTCTGATTGAACTCCATGGTGGGTGGGGACAACGGAGACGATCCCACTATGGAGCATAAAACACACCCCTTGCCCTCTTCCGGAGAAATGTACCGAAGAAGGGAAAACTTTTAAAAGTGTAAGTGCAGTTTGTCTCGCGCGAACCATAAAGGAGTTGGTCGGTAAGCTCCGATCAGTCGTGCTACTGAGGAATCGTCCTATTCTGTTTGAAGCATCCACCGACGAGCAGATAAAGATTTCAAATACTAAGCAGAATGCCGGCCCCCGTGTGAAAGTGACCACTCATGACGATAAAGTATAGTCTATTGTATTAAGTATTAAATACTAGCAGCTTAAGTGGACGACAATCTACATAACCACTTTGCCCAATTTCGTAAGTACTAGCTTTCAGTCGGTTTTGTAGATAACATACGATCGATTCATAATTTTTAATTTATTTAATACATGTGAATCTTACATTGTCAAAATATTAAACTAGGTACAGCTGTGTAGTTCTAAAACTCTTTATACAGCTGTGTAGTTCTAAAAGACGAAATATGTGTTTCAACTATTTTATTTGGGCTTCCTAGACAATTGTCAATCACAGTAAGGTTTGTCCTCGTTTCCCTTGATCCATTGAGCAGATGCTGAGATGGCTCATTGCTTTATTAATAATTTACCATAATACTGTAGAAGAGCGGGATTTTAAGTTAGGTCGACGTTCGTTGCTGTGCACAGAACATTGGTTGTTTCGTAATCAACTTAGCATTTTCGAAATTCCAAATTTTTACCTCAGGCCTTACCTCATTGTAGTGAAAAAGAATCAAATAAGGATCTTGGTCGCAGAGGTTCTTGTATTTTCGTTAGAAATGTTTTCGGTTTTATCTCATTGACGGAATTAAATATGTATTCAGTTGAAAATGTTTTTGAAATTTCTATTGTACATCTTTCTATGCTAAAATGTATCTTACTTTGCATCTACAGGCCATTTTTTTACCATCCCGTCTAACATACGAAGAGAATTTCGTTTTTAATCTTAGCGGTTAAATTTGGATTGTCCCGTGCGACCATTTCACGAGTGTACCGTAAGTATCGGGAATCCGATAAAACATCAAACCTCAGACATCCCTACGGCCCCAAACAGATCGTATAAGAACGGGACCGACGACGACTCAGGAGAATCATTACTCGTGACTGAAGTGCAACCCTTCCGCAAATTGCTTCAGATTTTAATGCTGGGCCATCAACAAGTAACAGCTTGTGAACCATTCGAGACATTATTGATATGGGGTTTCGGATCCGATAAGGAGTTTCGAGTCCTTGATGAATGCACGACACAAAGCTTTACGCCTCGCCTGGCCCCGTCAACACCGACATTGCACTGTTGATGGCTAGAAACACGCAGCCTGGTCTGACGAGTCTCGTTTCACAGCGTTTCGATGTTCATTCCCACCTGAGATATGACATATTTTGGGGAAGCGCATCCTATAGCTGACGTTTATTTTACAAACAAGAATTGTATGAATAATAAACCAATCCCACTCACGTGATTCTTGTAAGCCTCTCTTTATCACAATCATTAAGCCTACTGGCCCCTTCCGTCTTCCTTCTATTGCCTTATTGGTCTGCACCGACGCCTCCCGTTCGGGTTGTAGTTACGGAGAATTTTTGGCATTCTAATGAAATGATCATGTTAGTTCTGAGTACATCTATGTTTTCTGTTAGGTTTAAGATCTTGAATTCGTCACTGATTTCTGAGTTTCATTTATGGTCCAGTATTGAATAGCCCGCCTAAGCTCTAAGAAATCTTCTTCCCCGGCTTCTATTTTTCTGTTATGTATTCTATTGAAGACCTAATTTCCACATCCATATCTTATCATTGGAACTGCCATTGTTATGTTAGCTTTCAGTTCAGTGTCTGTACGTACTTTCTGTCTGAGGGACTTTTGTATAGATTTCTTTATTAAGCTTGGAATTTTACCATTACCTTGCCTCTTGATTTACGAATCAGTTTTTTTTAATGACTTACTCAAAGGTGGCAACATATTGTCAGCAAATACCGATGCCCATAATTATACCATTCGACGTAATAATAATTTTCGTGAAGTGTCTGTATCAACAGCTCACTACAAAAATGTCGCATTCAATACAATACTTTATTTTATAAATATTGCCATATTAAATTATATACAGAGGTTTAAGTGCCATTTAAAATGTTTTCTGCTGCATAACTGTTTCTGTGCAGTTAGACTACCAAGAATCAAAAAGTTAAGTAATATTAATTTCAACAAAGATATTGAATATATAAATTACCATTTGAAATGTATAATTCTAAACAACCTGTAACAAGTATTGTACCTCAGCTTCTGGGTCAATGGCCCCCATCTTGATCAGGTTTTTCGTTCAGTTTCCCTGATCCCTTAAGCGAATGCAGAAATGGCCCCTTGTTTTGCTTCTGGACATAAATGTAACTTTATTATCTCTGCACGTTTTCTAGAGTTAAATGAGAAATAAAATTATTCAAATTATTGTTCTTTATGTTGTCGCAGCAGAAGTATATTCCTTCATATATTCCTTCACGAAAAACATGATGAAAGACATGAGCCCAAATCTATAGCTCATTAGCCCTTGGAAATATATTTATTACATCGGGGCGAATATTTTGTTAACAGTTCTTGCCAAAACGCTCATTTCTTTCTGTATTCAAAATTCACCTACAATATGTTTTTGAGTAAGGATCAAAGAAATACGAAAATGCGCGAATACACTTGTCCCTATAGTGCGTCACACGCCGTTTTTAACTGCTTTTGACGATAAATATGTGTAAAAAAGCAAACAGCGGTGTAGATACTTCGGAACTGGAGAAAACCTGCACAAATTGTTGTTCTCCCTTGTATGTCACATACAGTTTTCTTATTTATTTTTGAATTAGTAAAAAAAACAATAGTATTTTCAAACAAATATTCGTTGATATATTTTTAAGTACTCTTAAGTTCAGCATGAAATTTTATGATAGTTTTTGGAGTGTCTGTGAGAATTTCAATTCGTGTCTTGTATATGCTATTTTCATAATAATAAAATTTTATTGAATGATTGTATTCACTTTGAACATGTTGTTTATTGAAATTGTTTTTGTTTCAGTTCAGTGCCCCTGTCGTTGCTATTTGGAAAATGGAACGTGGTAGTATTGAAAATATCGACTTGTTTCATGAGAATGTGTGGTCAACCTACCCTGAGAATAGCCTTAATAATGGCCCAGCATTGTATTTGGGGATGCACCAAAAGCAGGTATGCAGTTTTCCTCATTTGTTTGTAGATGCTAATGAAGCAGTAGAGATTTAAAAAAGTTATCTTATTTATTGTAGCATTTTATTATCGTTAACAATTCTATTTTAATAACTTATCACTTTCTTTAGGTTTTTTTAATTTAGGGGGCTAATTTCTTATCTAAAATTCTTCACTTGCTCTCGAAATTAAGTTAGTGGTACTTTGCAACATCCCTTTACACAAATGTTCTTCCCTTAAAAAAAAGTTTCTCTGGCGTGTTTTCAGGACGTAACCCAATTGAAAGATCGACGTGATGCAGCAGACAACATTATCTACACTGTTTCTAGTTGTGGTTGTATTTTGTTACTACAATCCACATGGTTTTTGTTTTGTGATTTGAGTTCAAAATATTCTCATCATTTTAGACTTTTGACTAATGGTCACGATCATTTTGTTTCATGATTTGAAATGTAAGACTTTTCGTAACAATGATTTCTATTTTTGGAAGTAGAGGTGGAAATCATGGAATAAGGAATGGAATCACAAAATAATGATTAATGACACTGCCCAACAAAAAAAAAATATTGAAGGTTTCCTTTGCTTTTTGAGTTCAGTATTACTAAAAACGAATATGACAAAGAAAAAGTTTTGTTAGCTCTTGTTTCTGTAATAATATATGGAAATATTTCATTTTAACAGATTAATAAAAAACTTTACATTTTAATATTATGTGCCAACAAAATTGGAAGTTCACGCGAATATTTTGAAATAATAGTTACGTATAAAGAGTTCTAAATTGATGGGAAAATACTTGATAGTTGGGCTTGAAGAGAATTATGTGGTGGCTTCATGAGATTGCTGTGTTTTGGCTTCCCTCTTTGTGAGTTCCAGAGCATGTCTACATACAGAACATACAGACCAGCAGTAATTCGCAAATATTGCTTTGTTCCATTAAAGAAATGCCCTGGGTGGAATCTTTCTCTGTTTTCATCACTTGACTGCTTCACAACTAGAAGATAAAAGTGTAGGTGGGAGTGCAGAAAGTCAATTTCAAGGGATATGTTGCTTCCGAGTTCATGATATTTTTGCAGAAGTACTGCCACCAATTGAGTATGTATGAATGTAGTAGAATGCAGTAGTTATGAACTCTGTTGTTGCCTAAAAAATCTGTGAATAACTCACTTGAATGCTTCCCAATTTCCTTTTCTTTCCCCTCCTTAACTGTCAAACGCAGGATCCTTTACAAGTTGTCGAATTTTATGGTCCAACAAAAATACCGTCCTGAACTTTTGCGTCACTCTACATAGAACATTTTCTCTTAAGTACCTAAAGACCTTCCCTTCTTGGTTTATAGCTTTGGCAATTGTTTTCATCAAACCCAGCTTTATATGTATGAGAAAAAGCAGCAGATTTTGGGTCTATTCGAACCTCCGCCTCGTAATGTGATTTCCTGTCTCTGCTGTCCCAAATACATAAAGAACAACAGTATATTATATACTCTAGTTGGAATCCTAAGAGCGCAGCTGTGACTTTCAGATCGCCCCAGATTTTTCTTGATGAGTCAGGAAAGACTATCATGTTTGCATAAGATGGGATTCATATTAACAACATGGCCAACAGGAATAGTAGGAAGACTGTTTCGAAAACGATGCAGTGAAATGCATAAAACAGTTTTTAAGGAAAAACTATCTATCATCAAAATTGTACTATTATTTTTTTTTTTTGCAGTTTACAAAACAGACTTTGCCGAAAATGGGATCGGTAATATTTTTACCATTCTTTCCAAAAACAAGGACTAAATTCAAAGAAAAAAAATTGGAGTCTTTTTAGGAGTTAATTGTCAAAACAATGCCCATGTTTCATTTTACTTTTGCTGTGCGAAAACTACTCATATTTTCAGATATACAGGTCCTTTCAAGACATAATTTTAAAGAACATTTCATTAAGGAACAAATATCTGTCTCATTTAACGCAAAAAAATAAAATCTGTGTGTGATGCACTATGAGGAGAATTGTGCAAGTTTTCTTACGTTCTGAGATCTCGATCTTAACCCAAGTTGAATTTGAATACATGTGGAATAGCATTTTTGGCAAGAATGAATGACAAAATATTACCTCTCGTGTAATAAAATCTATTTATAAAAGCAAATGAACTATAGATTTTTGCTATTATTCCTTACCTTGCCATTCTTAAAGCCGCGAGAGCGAGAATTTGAATAACTAGACTTCCCTCTGAACTCTTGAAAACTTGCGTAGATAGTGAAGGTATATTTACGTCCAAAAGCAAAACAAGGGGCCATCTCAACATTCTGTAAAAGGATCAGGGAAACTAGATGAAAAACTTGATTGGGTGGAAGCTGAGGTACAGAACCTGCTACAGGTCATCAAGAATTATTATATAGTTCAAATGGTAATTAATAATTAAATATCATTGATGAAGTCAATATTACTTCCCTTTTTGATGTTTTTGTTCTAAATAACAAAGATATCACTAAAAATATTATTTTATGATTTGTCGTTTAGAAATGGAACTAATGGGAAATAGAAGATTGCACCTCATAAATTCATCAGAGCCCATCATATTATCGATTAATTCCTAATCAAAGCTGACTAATATGAAATTTATTTTCAATACATTATATTCTGAATTATTGAATTGTCTATAATTTTTTCTTTGCAATGTATAGGAAAGTAAACTCCATGCTAAAAGTATGAAATTGTTTCAGTTGTACATTCAGGAGAGTGTCTCTTTACAAGCTACTGTAAAGAAAAATACTTACATGATTGAGAGTGCATCCTCAAGGAACCTGCAGATACCTTGGGAACCAGTTGCTGTTCCAAGTGAGTACTCGACTGGAATTAATACAGTTTTTAAGTTTCCCATCGTACAAAGTATAACTGTCATGTTTTTCTATGATATATGAACATATGATTTTCCTCGTCCTACTATTTCATCTCCTCCTCGTACTCCACCTTCTACTCCTACTACTGCCACTAACATTACCACTTCTACTGACGTGACCCGTGTCGGAGGGAATGTTTTCTGGCAGTTGCGGGACCTGTTTGTTTCCCAATTACTCCTTGTGCTACTTTTTGCCGTCGTATTTCAAGCAGACATTTTCGTTCAACCAATAGGAGGGTTCCTGTTTTGTCACATGACGTAGAATAGCAAACCAATATTTACTCTATGCATTGTTGGCGCTATTGCATACAAACTAGTCTTTTGCACCTGGACTGAAGAACTTGCAGGCAGGAGTGCAACAGAAGTTTCATCTCCATTGCTACATTCTTTGCAATCTGAAAATTGAAACTGTGTGGGATGTGGCGGATAAGCTAAAGGAAAACTGGTCACTGACTTACGCTAAAATTTTATCCCAACATTTTAAAATCATTGAAAATTATTATTATTATTATTATTATTATTATTATTATTATTATTATTATTATTATTATTATAATACTATTCCTGCACTCCTGCTCAATAGAATTTGTTGGCAACCTTTAGCACTTTATCTTAAATTAATTATGTAGTTTTATTCAGTGTGAAAGTTGCATCTGCAACAGATATTTTTTTCGTTTTATTATAATTACGGTTTAAATTGTTTCATGGGCGCCAGTGCCCATACGTTTTGAAGCGCCTTTTATACACCAACCAAGAGACCTTTTGGAAAATTACTACAGGTTGTTTATAAGCAGAGCTATATATTCACTAGAGATGGTGAACGCTCTCCAACCAACCACTTGCATTCCAACATACAAGAGTTGTAATATTTTACTGCAGTTTTAATTTTTTTTAAATAATTTGACTGGAGTGCAAATGTTTAAAGAAATATATGCTATATTTTAATCATATCATTCCAATGTTTTAAACTTTAACACAATATTCTTTCGAATCATTTTGGAAAAGTGTTTCTCTGCTTTCTAATGATAGAATTGGAGATGAAATTGTTTATTAAAATATTAAATAAAAATGCACAGTATATTATTGTAATTAAAACTATTATTTCTCTGCTCTTTTTTTATTACAGGGTCCGCTTTAGGCTCAGTGGCAATACCTGTTGGTGATTCTAAACATGAAGATGATGCTCCCACTACAGCGCTATCAGTATTATATGCTTCAGAATACGTGAATGGTACGGTATGCATTACATATTTTAGACAGTCGAGTGTAGCGTTCGTGATATGTTCTCACTCTACTTGTATGGGTACGGACAGTGGGAAAATTTCGGGTAAAACTGATTCAAATGAAACCAGCGATCTTGTGGCTATTTTTTTAAAATGTGGACTCGAATTCATTGCATTGCAAAGGTGTGTGCAAATAAATATGCCCCGCATTCACATGTTGCAACTTACGAGGCAGTGACCGTTCGAACATCAGAATGAAAGTTATTGCGATTAAAAAAATTGCGGTGTTCCCTGAACTGCTCATGTGAAGAAAAAATGTGTGTAAATATTGTATTTTCTAGCTGTGTCACAGATTGTCTCTGAAAAGAGGTTTTCTTGTAAAAATATGTTGATTACTAAAATAATTGTTTTAAGGATATTGTTGCATTTCCTGAGAAATAATTATTTATGCATGAGGGTTGTTATAAAGGTTCTAATGATCGAGTGAAGTCAAAATACCACAAGGCCTTTGTCCCAAGTGATTTTTGTTACCCGAGGTGATTAGAACCTATTAAAGCTTATGGTACATACATTTTGCGCTTATAACACACGTATAAAAATTGCACAGATCTGAATACTCTTAATTTCCGAAAATTTCAAAAGTTAACAAATAATGTAATAAAATATGTGCAGTTGAAGCACCACTAGTTTTCAAAAAAATAAGAGATTTTTGGTAAAAACTGTCCTGAAGCGGATAACTTCTTAAGTGTGGATTCGTTAACAGCTCCTTTCATTTCTGATGGCGATACGCTGCAGTTATTTTGTAGAAGCTTCACATGTCTGCCAGATAGCGTGGGTAATCGCAAATTGCTGTTACAATGTATCACGTTTTGTTGAAAAATTTAGAGTTGTTTCTGATAGTGTCGTTTAAGAGTTCCTGAGTATGGGAAATCTGAAATTTTCGAGAAAATGGAGTTTGAGTGTTTCTGAAAAGGTATAATTTCGCGCTCATTTTCCCAGAAAAGCTTTAAGTTTTCGAGAAACGTTTGACAACATTTGAAGCACAGATCTTTATAAATACATAAATGTATATAAATCGCCGATAATGTAAATTTAAACGACGTGAGATGTCAAAAATATTTCGTGTTAAGTAGTTGAAAATCCAAAAGAATACAGCAAAGTGGAGTTTACGTCATCTTATACAGTACTTTTAACACTATCCCTACCAATAGTTTAACGAAAAAATTTGGAGCCGGTTTCTAATTTTTCAAATTTTTTAATATTGCTCTATTTCACATGAAACAGCACGTAAACCAATATTATTTTCCTAAAAGTAGTACATGACGTTAATAAAAGATTATGGATATTTGTGGAGAACAAATTTCTGTTGAAGAAAGCACTATCTTCAAATGTACGCAAAGTAAGACGCCAAAAAATTCAAAATGTTGCCATTTCCGACATTTCAGTGAACTGAGAATATCAGACCTACGCCATCTTTATAGGTGTATTTCTCTCTATTTTTAGTAACCTAAAAGAGAAAAATTTGGAACAATTTTTTTAAATTTCAAAATGTCGCGGGGTTTCATGTTTCATACCCCCCAAAGTTAAAGAATGTCATTCAAATTGCGGGGCCTAATAAAACCGGTATGCTAATAAAACTAATGCAGGTCACATTTTCGCCGAACTCTAATTTTCGAAAATTACAAGAGTCAAAAAATGTTACATGCGAAGTTTTTAGCTTATTTTTGCGTGAAATAAAGATAATTTTAAGGAAATTCGTAAACCATTCTCTCCTAAACTTTTCATTTTTTCACGAATAGATTTAAGTACGTGTATAAAAAAGACCCATCACATTTTTTTAAAACGGTCTGAATTTTGCAAATGTCCAAGATTTTTTCCGCCTCTTTCTATTGAAGATAGAGGTTTATTTCCTGAATGAAATCTGTTCAAAATTAGACTTTTAAATAAAGTCATTTAGCATTTTTTTGAAAATATGCATAGTTATCGCGTAATGTTCCGTGGCTATTACAAATAATACTCGGAAAGTACGTGCTGTTGTAGCCCCGACCAATCAAGAATTTTCTCCGACGATCGCACAAAATTAGGAAAAAAAGAAAGGAAATCTCGACCTCGAGCGACGTTTGCGCAAGAAGGTTTTCTGAATACCTGCCGGACAGCGTGAAGATAATGCAGATTCTACACGTAAAAACCCAAATCTACTATACTATAATTATAAAGAAAGAAAGAAATTATGGGGAAGCTCGTTGAATGATAGAAAGAAAATCATGCGATTTCCTCACGAGAAATCCAGAGCTTTTTTTTTTACGTGCACATTAGAATGGATATTGATGTGAATACTAATGCAAACAATTTTCTTACAGCTATTTTATTTGAGTCTGGTATTCTTATTCCTATTTCTATTTAACTCGAAAGTGGAGCAACAAGATACAATTTCTGTAAGAACGAATGTTGCGACGCAGCCCTTTTCTCAGGAAGGAGTTGTCGCCCCCGCACGGAACGGAGCTTCCCAACGGCGCCGATCCGCTACCGACCGATCTACGAGGAGCGACCTTGAACGCACGGAACGGAGCTCCCCAACGGCTCCGATCTACGAAGAGCGACTTTGAGGCATAGAGTAGAGATATCTAGTATAGAAGCATAGAGTAGAGTTAGTTGTATCTCTCAATGCTTTGAAGGCACCGAGCGGACACAACGGGGTTTGGTGGCGTGAGTCGAACCGTTCCACCAACCAACTGGTTCTCCTAGTTTAGCCATTCGCATGACACGCGATTATATGAGATTAACATTAACTATTGAAATTACGCTAGGTAATTTAAATTTCCAGTTTCTGTCGCGAGTAAATTTCTATTACTCGTAATTATGGTCGTGATGGAAAACAGAATTTAGACTACCGCAAGTAACGGTAAAACTCTTTTGATTTGTATAAATTTCTTTGTAAGGCAAGTGATGCAAATATGGCCAATGCAGGTAATATGCCCAAGTAGCGGTTATGTTGTTAGCTGAAAAACAGATAGTACTAGCATGCTATCTTGCAGAGCGTAAGAAGTGCGTTAACCCTTTACCAGGCTTGTTGATTCGCGCATTTGCATTCTGGAGCCTAAATTATCAAGAACGTGCTGGAGGTGCTTTGACCTTACAACTTCTTTCATGGTAATTTTACCATTATTTACACTTAAAGAAGAATTTAGTAATTTCACAATATACATCAATGTTAAGAATATTAAATGAGTAAAATCAGATTAATGCCATTAAATTTTCTCAATATTTTACCAACGTGGGAGATATCAGATAAAATGTAGATTTTGTTGTCAATATAGCCAAGGGTGATGGGCATATTACCAGCACTTACGGCCATTTTAACTTATAAACTCTCTCGCTACTGATTTAAAATAGGATTTCTTTTCAACTTGTACATCAGACGACATTGAAAACAATCCATCAATTTCCAGACAAAATTATAAATTGGATATGGCAGCAAAGAAAAATAATAAAGATAATACTCACAAGAAGAAATACGTTTCAATGAAGAAAACCTAATAAATGATGTAAACACTGGTGGAAACAAATCCTGCACGGAAAAATGGGGAAAGCTAGAATTGTCAAGTTTGCTGTGTGGAGGCAGTAGTTCAGGACATGCATTGATGCAGTGCATGTGGGAAATATGTACACGAAGAAACTGGGACTAACTCTTAAAAACAAAGAAACTTTCATTAGTCCTCAATGTCAAACTGATTAAACATTATTTTATTTTTGTAAGTTTTAAAGGAATTACGTATGTTATTAATTTTGTAAAATACAGTCTCATTGTACAAAATACTGAATTTGTTATGAGTAACCCAGCAATTCTTACATTACCAAACTCATGTCAGACCTTTTTTTTGTAAAATTAGTCTGTAAGAGGGTAATTCATATTATATATTAATCTAATATATAATATGAATTACCCTCTGGCCCAACTTCCAGATCATGCCCCAAGAAACCAGTTAATTTGCTGATGACCATTGCGAAACTAGTTAATTTGGCGAATCTGCATTTGGGCATATTACTTTCACATTACAATGTTTTTGTAAAACAACAACAAAATATTTTTTTTATATAGCTATTTCAACTTGAAGCAAAATCATCATAATATAATGCTGTTGACTGCGCCAAATGTTGAAAATATAAACAGGAAAATTTGAAGCGCATCTCATGGCCATATTACTTCCACGTACCTTTCATATGATTGATAAGGATATGACTTACTGTAAAGCAGTTAAATATTATATGCCTTTTAATATTGTCATTTAAGGATTATTTTCATTAATGAAATCCGCAATGCATTTTTGGTTAAAAGATTTGATAATTAACTTAGAGTTGTCAATGTATTAGATACATTAATTATTTAAAAGAAGTTCATTGTTCCTTTCTGAAACAAAGTGTGTGCCAGAGGAAACATTTCAAGGCCTTAATGTTGAATTCTTTTTCCTTTTTGGAACATGATTGTGTATTTGTGATTTTGAATATTGTTTGCTTGTATGTATTTACAGCTTATGTTTTCTTATAGTGATTAGTGTATGCTTTGTGTAATTATATAATTCAGGAGTGATAATTTTTAATAATATTGAGATTTATAAGAGTATGACTAATTATAGTTCTCTTTTAGTTGGAAAGTAATGTATATTTGAACAAGAATATAAGATCTCTATTAATGAACAAGTACTTGACTGTTCTTAGAATTCGATTCGAAAGACAAATTGCAGTGTAAACAAATTTACTACCACAACTATTCACATGACATCTATTTCACATGTCTCGTTCTGAGTAAAACAAAATGGTTGATTTAAGTCTCTCATCTTAGACCTTCTAACATGAAGGGAAGGGTGGTGGCAATATATGGTATACTCTTCTGTAATGTTATTAGTCATATTTCCGTTCTACCATTAGGGAACAAAAATTTGAAACAAATGTGAGAAGAGGATAAACCAAAAAGGTAACCCAGACCAAGGAAATTAGAAAACCATGAAATCTCTAATAAACGCAGTATTTTCCCAAAACTCACTTTCTGGTGTAGAATTAACCTGCAGGCGCAATGACATGACAGACTGGAACAACTGCCTACGCTAATTCTCAAGAATGTCCTAGTCTGAAAAATTTATATTGGGTCAATTATCGTTGTAGATCAAGTATCTTTCGTTTTCCCATTTATTATTTTAATGGAAAATAAATCATACTTCCATTGGATATCAAAATCTTAGTAAGCAGTAGTTATGTAATGATTCATTTTTATGTTCATATGTGTAAAAAGGAAAATTAATTGTACATTTCTACATGCGTTAATCAATACTTTCTATTGTTAGAACTTAGAAGCTGGAAATCTCACCATTATCTTTTAAGTTATCAAATATAATGATTACTTTATAACAATGTTCACAATATTTTTTTAGGAAATGGTTACTTTCTGTTTAACAAAAGTAACTTCGAAAAATCTGATGAACAGTGCAGTCGAGGAGAGGAAAATAATAGAAGTGCTACTAGAGATGACTTTGTAAATGATCAAGAAACGCCTGTTCATATTATTGTCTCCCTGTGGTATTGGTGGTGAGTACTGTTTTTCTACAAACATTTGGAAATAAAAAATAGAGATTAAAAAAAAATATACAAATTATATTTACTCAAAATATTACGCCATATCCTGCACGGTCACGCGGTGTTTTCTTTAGATACAATTTACACCCCTCCTTTTGACGAACCATCTCGGAGGTTTAGCGAATGCGCAGAATGGCATTTGATCCCAGAATCAACACTGAGCGAGCGCTCTTTCGCTGCCGAATCTTTCGTCGAGAAGCAGCTTGCTAATTTGGTCTTAGTGCAAAGAAACGGGGATAGAAACACCTGTTCCGCGATCGCTTTGCCTCTGCCCTACGTATGCTGCGGTTTGCCAGGAATAATCCCCTGGTAGCAATGTCGGACTATTGTTCTGGAGCCACAAGTTAAATCATCTCAGATAACCGTGCTTCTGAACCCACTCTTTGGATTGAAAATTGAATAAATGCCCAAATGGTCTGTTACGTGAACATTTGTATAATTATTTTCTTGATAAAAGTTTCCAAATCAAATTTTTAAGACAATCAGTTTATTGTTTTTGTTTTATTTTCGATCTCCGAAACGAAGTGCTAGTAAAATGAAACAAAAACAATATACTGTCTTCAAAAATTGATTTGGAAACTTATCTCAAGAAAGCGAATTACAATCATAATATAAGTGATTAAAAATTAGTATAATTACTCTGCACTGGATTCACCGTTTTCTCGTCCCTTGTAGACAATGGATCTAACTAGGCCGCAGCCGGAAGGAGGTTAGAGGCAACGGTCGAACGTCCTCGTACGCTCCCGCTAGCCGATTTCCTGTACTACGCTCCGTGAAGTCTCAGAGGTTAAGCGACAATTCGAGACCTCGCGGGTTCCTGGTTGGGTGACCGTCTAGGAACCCTGGGATCTAATTGCGCCGAGCCCCTGGCCGAAGGCTTAAAGGGTACCGACTGCGATGTGACGAGACTTGACTATGAAAAAAACGGAAGTTTACTCCAATGCAGGCGCTCAAAGCCCAAGAACGGGTTCAGAGACTGTTGCGTCAACAAAGACGCAACAAATAAAAAAGCCTCCCTGCGTACACTATACATGCCGCCTAGGTCAGTCCGCTGCCGCTCCGCCTGTCTCTTCCTGCATTCTTGGCGTTGGATATCTCTTTCAGCTCTGGTATGAGAACTGGTGGTGTGCGTAGTTTTTAGAAGTTTCTCTGTGATTCTCAGGCAGCATGTCATGTCATTGAATTTGAAGTGTTTCTCAGAATCAGTGTGAATAACTGCGAATTAGTATTTGTCATCTCGTTAAACATCTCTAATCTGAGGGCCTGCTTTGTGCATCCTTCTCTCGGTAACTCGTCTCTCCTGATCTGTTAATTTCGATAACATGGAATGTCTTCTATTATTTCCATCTACTCTCGGATTTTTTCTACTCTATTCTGAAGTAGCCTCGCGCAGGCTTCCGTGAAAGTCCGGTTCATTCTTTTCCACTCGTCTGCTGTGATCATGGTGTAAGACAAGCTTGCCAAACCACGCCCTCACTTGCCGGAGCTACTTGTCCGCCTGGGAAGCCCGGCGCTCTTACGATCACGGGCAACTTCCCCTGGCTTCGCTCTCTTTTCCCCTCCGGATCCTCAAAGGGGTGTATAAGCGCGAGCTGAAGCGGCGCGAGGCAGGGAAGAGTGGCTTCATACGAAAATGTTTGCCAGATTTGTTCTGTCAAACAATCGATTTTGGAATTGTGCATATTCTTTAAAACAATGGAAAAAGCTGGTCAGAAAATTAACCAAAGACTGATGAGGGAACTGAAAGGTGGGAAAATTTTGTTAGAAAATTACAAGGATATAAATAAGAAGTTACAGATAATCGAAAACAATGAAGAAAAGAGAATTAGTAAAGAAAAAAGGAACAATGCAATAATCAAATGTAGAGAAATACAGGGAAATAAGGCAGATCCTACTAAAACTGTAGTAACACTTTTCGAAAAAAAGGAAAGTCAATATTGAACACGATAAACCTGTATATATTGGAAAAGACTAGAAAGAAACAGGGGTGGTACGTCTTAGAATAAGATTATTAGAACTCAAAGCAGTAATGAAGAGTAAACATAAATTACAAAGTTATGACTGCTACATTGAAGATGATATGACAGCAAAAGAAAAAGAAATGAAGCAGCGATCAGGCAAAGAGCAAAAGTCGAACAAGGAAATAGAATCACAGTTAAAATAGGATTTCAGAAAATCCAGGTGAACAGGAAATGGGTGGAAGGGAATGAACTAGAAGAAAAAATAGAGAAAATTATAATGTGCAAGAAACTAGATACTTACGATTCCATCATACAAACCAAGCCATGGGAATACGAATTATAATAAAGTAGTCAAATGACAAAAAACAAACAGCAGAAAAATAAAAAAAAACAATGAAATAGAGAAAATGAACAAGATACGGGACAGCATTGAAACAATCCCTCGGGATAATATTGTAGCGAACTTATGGAAAATGAAGGAAAACTTAAAATTGCTGCTCTAAATGTGAGAACTTTGAGAACATAAGAATGATTTGTCGAACTACAAGAAGCTCTAAAATACATTCATGTAGACATTGTAGAAATCTTGTAAGTAAGAAGAGAAAGAAATTCCATAATGGAACTACTAGGTGAAGACATTCTCACTTATGTTGGAGAAACAAAAGGACATAGGGGTATAGGGGTTTTTATGTCAACAGGCAAATCAAACCTTACATGGAAGAAATTAAGGGAATCAATAAAAGAATAATTGTGGCAAAATTAAGTTATGAAAAAGACAACATGGCAATCTTTCAAGTTTATGTGCTAACTGAAAACAGCAGTAATTATGAAATTGAAGACTTTTATGAACACCTTCATGATACCATAATTGAACATTGAGTAAATATTAATATTGTACTAGGTTACTTCAACAGTAAAATAGGAAGAAAGGAAGGACCACATGACTATGCCATGGGACAATATGGATAAGGTGACAGGAACCTCAGAGGATGAAGACTTCTTCAATTTGAAAATGGACAGAGATTAAAATATATAATGCCTTCTACAAGAACAACATCAAATAAATGTACCTGGTGTAATCCTGATTGAGAACAGGTAATGAAACAACTACATTCTAACTGAAAAATCTCAAGCATAGGGAACTTAGAAGTAATGAGCAACAGGAAGTTTGAAACATGTCATAGGCTAGTAGGAGCAACAGTTATTATAGAAAAAAGAACAAAGGCACAAAAATGTTCATTTAATGAAAGAATCTATAGATAAAAATTCATTTATATCACAAGTAAACCAATCTCTTATCAGCTGGGACTACGTGAGAACCAAAATAAAAGAATTTTGCTCAAACATTGAAAATGCAATAAGAAATGCCACCTTAAAACCAACAATGAAAGACAAGGAAAAGAAATGTAAATTAAGTGCAACAACATTGCCACTAATAGATCGAAGAGAAAGAATGAAACAACAGTTCCAAAATTCCATTTCGAGAATTGAATATACAGAGCTCATCAAGCTAGTAAAACGTGAAATAAGGGAAGATTTAAGATGTCACAGAAACAGAATCATATAAGAAATAATGAATACTTTCAGGTCCATAAAGACATTAAAAAATGAGAGTAGAGTGAGGGAAAACATTGGATGAAAGGAATATACACACAGGAAGTCAGTTGATAACTAATAGAAATAAAGTTATATCAAGCCACGTCTTTCTATGAGAATATCTACAGTGGTTCATTAGATAACTAAATTACAACAATGGAAGAAATAAAATATGTTCAAGAGATAAGACACTAGTCACAAAAAAAAAAAAAAGTAATAATTTCCTTAAAAAATAGTTGAGAAAATGTCTGAAGGGGAATGGAGAAACGTAAGGTCAGAAGATAGCGAAAACATTGTATTAAATATGCCACAATGTTTACAGAAGATAATTAAACATAAAGGCTACCTTAGTAAACATGGTGTTAAAATTGAAGTTCTATATTAACAATAAACATTATGCTCGAAATGACCGAATATTGATGTGGCAGGTATTTCACTCTAAATTAATTTTTTGTACATTTAAGATTGTATTTGTAAATTTTCGTTTTTAAATATACACACTTACATGTGGCTTTTATTAACTGCCAATAAAGTTTTGTATTTGATCACGCTTCTTTCATAAAAATACAAATTGTCCAGAATAAGAGGGTGACCTAATATTAAAGAAAGACTATCGTGAGAGGAACATCTAATGTGAGACATCTGTATATTGTTTTAATAATTCTTGTCCAATATTTATTCCTGGTTCACTAATTTAATTGCAGACTGAATCTGTAATATATGCAAAAGTACATTACAAAAGACTTAATGAAATTATAGTTTTAAGTATATTGTTCCAGTTTCTGGAAAACAATCATAAGATCCAGTTTACATTATTGGACCACATTGATAAAATTTGTTTTCATTGCAGGAAAGAAGTTCTAATAATAAGTGTAACAACTGCTGTACTTGTCAATATCATTGTAACTCAACGAGTTCTGCAAATAGTTCAAGAACCTGCTGAAAAGGTGAGCACTATGTGAATTGAATTTGAATAGCTAACATTTTGTATTTTAAAATATTAAAATTAATGAAGTTTAATTGCCAAAAAGTACTCGATATTCAGATTGTAATGTTACGTTTCAGTGTTTTCTCACGATTCTTTTTTATTTTTATTTTTGTGTAAGAGCATATAGTCTATACAATATCTCTTCAGAGGAGAACTGCATAAGTAGATCGTACTAAGAAAAAATCGTGTAGCTGCACGAATATAAATTACTTTAAAAAACAGTTGTGCATTTGTTTATCGTACAAAACATGAAACTAATCGTATTTGTAAAAAGGTGAAAAAAATTTAACGTTCAAAAAATAAGTGAACTAGCTGAATTTTTCGGTCGCGAATCAGTCATCTTAGAACCGCGTCCCTGTGCAACTGTACCCACCAAGGCCCAGGCATATTTCCTCGAGCATAAGTGGACTTGACACTTGGGGAGAAGATCAGCATTGCTGAATCCATTTTTAACCCTGGGGGATAAGGTATGAAATGATAAACGAATTAATGAATAAATGAACAATTAAAAGCAAAGACACACACAAACTCAAAACTTCGATAATCACGTTATAAATGTTCCTTTGATTAATAAATTACGAAAAATTGTAATGTGTTTTAAGAAAAAAGTTTTTGGAAATAGCTCGTGTTGTTTGATTTGCAATCAGTTGGGTCCCAGGCCATGTGGGAATGAGCTGGCTGACCAGGCGGCGAATTCAGCGACGCAGAAGACATATGTTGACATTGCTTCTGTACAATTGTCCGATGTTAAGGCATTTTGGAAATGATCCATCTTTAGAGCGTGGCAAACAGAGTGCCTCAATACAACCTAAACCAAGTTTTATAAAGGATTATATTAAGGCCTAGCGTTCCCCATCCCGACCTTCTAGGCGTGAGGAAGTCGTTTTAACCAGTGTTCGAATCGCACACTGCCCCTTTTCTTATGGTTTCCTCTTTCGAGGTGAATCTTCTTCCGTCTGTGACTCATGCTGGACGGTTCTTTCTGTGAAACATGTCCTCCTGCATTGCACGAAATTTGTTGGCAGCCAAAAAAATGGCTCCAACGTTTTTGATTAAATTTTGTTGTTGGGTAGTGTGAAGGACATTCAAGAGATTGGTGTAAGTCTCATATTCGTTGAAAACCTATTTTCCGAAAATTAGTAAAATTCAAAAATATTTTGGCGTTTTCCTACTGATACAAATATGAAGATAGAGCTTTTTCCTTACTGAAATCTGTTCTTAAAGATAGATTTTGAAATAAGGTCATGTACAATTTGTTCGAAAATTTAAGTAGTACTTTTCGCGTAATTTTGCGAGAAAATACATGCTAGTTTGCCACCACTACCAGTATCGTTTAATTTTTACCACGGCTAGAGCAAAGGACTTAAAAAAAAGGCTCCCTCCCATGCTCCCTCCCATGATTTCCAACGCGTAAATTTTGAAAATGCAAGAGTCCAACGGAAATAAGACTGTGAAATCGGGTTCAACTAGTATTGTATTATAGCAGAGGAAAGCAGACTCCAATAGGGAGTCATAAAAGTGGGAGCTGTAGTGATGTTGCAGCTCCCTATTGAAGTCTGCCTTCAGTCTTCGTTTTTCGTGCTCGACCTTGAAAGCCACGTTAAAAAAATCGAAGTATTTGTTACCGTTACAAATGATGGGAGAAAGTATGTACTGTTTAAGTACCACTAGTTTTTTAACGTTTTTACTCATGATGTGAAGTGTGCGATATATTATTTAGTGATGTATATTGAGAGCTAATCATAAGCCACACTCACGCAGGTTGGAGATGCAGCTAATTTAATGCTGGCTTTACGTTACCAACTGACAAATGGAAATTTATTTTACAGAATGTGAGTTAAGTTGTCCAGAGAGCATCATGATATTTTTAATACGACAAACTCCAGATTGTGGCTTGTGACTGCCTCTCAATGACCCCCCTACTTTTTAAGCTTGATTTTACTAAATCTGCTTTCATTGTTTCGTATACCCAGGAGATCTTTTTTGTGAAGAAGTCATCATTTGAAAAAGAAAATTCTGAAAATGTGTCATCTCCAGGAAGAACGTCGGAGTCCAAAAATGAAGAATACACCTCGCGTTATCTTCTAGATTTTGAACCTGTTAGATGTTTGGGAAAAGGTGGATTTGGTGTGGTGTTTGAAGCAAAAAATAAAATAGACGAATGTAATTATGCAATAAAGAGAATTGCTCTTCCAAATAGGTAAGATTCCTAAGTTATTAGTCTTGGTCAATAGCGTAGAGTGCAAAAATACGGATGGGTTGCAGAACCAAGATAGGAATTTTGGGAAGTGGGGATTCCATAATAGTAATTGTTCTATTACTCGCACCCTAAATGCGTTAAACATCTACGGGTTGATTGACTCAAAGCAGGGGCGGTTCGTGTTACGGGCTCATGGGCGTCGCTCCTCTTGCCTTTTATTATTGCATGTGGTTGTTTAAATCTTAGTAAGAAAATAATTTGTTGATGAGTGCTCAAATATTGGCGAAACTAACATTTCTGCTTCTGTATGATTCTTTCCTGCGTTAAACATACGTCGGCGCCGCCAGC